GTTCACCGTTCAGCCAAAGATTAGATAGCCCCATAAAACAAAACGAGACTAATGGGGCACAACAATCCAGGGACAAGGACTACAAGGCAAGAGGGGACAGGAAAGCTGGTAATAGGGAACCCAAGGTTGAGAAGGGACAGTGTTGACATGTCGTGGAGCTGTTAACCATTGTCATAAAACAATATGTGTACTGTTTAATGAGAAACTATTGGTTCTGTAGACGTTCACCTAAAGTACAATAAAAATAAAAACCAAAACAAACAAACATTCTTCTCCTGAGTGTCCAAAGCTCCTATTCTTGAAGGACAATTAAAATATAACCATTGACTCATGTGCTAAGGCTGGACACAAATGTTGTAAACAGAGCACACCTGCAACACTAAGGTCCTATCTGGCCAGAGTTATAAGTAGTTCTCCATCTGTCTTTCGGAATTAAAGTGATTCTCTAGGTTCATAGAAAAACAAAGGGGACATCTGGGTCTTAAGTCTTTAAAAAAAATTAAAATCTCTTTCACAAAATATTGGCAGCATCACAAGTGTTGACAATGAAAAAATGCCTAAACCAATAATTCCAAACTTGCACTATCCTAAGAATTAGCTGGAGTGGCTTGTTAAAAATACAAATATCCAGGCTTCTACCTACCAGATTCTAACTCAGTAGTTTTGGGTGGGGAGCAGGAATCTGTTTATTTTGTTTTGTTTTGTTTTGTTTTAATAAGTACACCACTTGATTCTTATGATTAGTAAAGTCTGTGAAACACTGGCCTACATTATATGAAATTCCTCACCAGAAAGTCAGCTGTAATGGTAGGCTTTATTCCTGAAGGAGAGTCAGAATCTTAAGGCTTTTTGCCCTGATTCCATGAGCTCAAAGGTACCCAACCACTGGAGGTGAGTGTTCAAGAAATGTTTACTGCTGAGGTGGTGCATCTCAAACTAACTACTAAAAACTCAAAAGCAGAAATTCCACAAGATGTCGTGGGTTATACTGCACCTTGTTGTCTTCCTCTTCATACTCATCACTGCTGTTATCAGCCATAGTCTTGTTAGGAAGATGGGCAGAATGAGGAGGTCCTTGGAATAAAAGTTTCCCTTTAAGGTTATTGTTAAAATGATTTTTAAAGACAAAGATTTTTAGTTTATGATATTTTATGCTCTATTTTATGCAGACAGAGAATTTATAAGAACATCTAGCTAAAGGACAGGAGACTCAATTCTAGTCATGGCTCCGTCAATTCAATTCAAGATATATTTACTAAGCATTTACTATGCTTAAGGCATTGGGTAAGACATTATACCAAACAACTATCTGCCAATGCATAAAATATATAAACTCTGCCCTTTATTTACACATTGGTAAAATGAAGTCAATAACTAGTAAAGTGAAAAGAGTGCTGGATTTATAACTACAAGACTGGGTTTAAAGGGCAACTCCATCACCTGGACAAAATGACTTAAGCTGAGTCTCAGTATCCCCACCTCTAAAATGGGGTCAGTAATATTTACCACCCAGGACTTTGTAAGGATTCAATGAGAAAACATATGTGGAAGGAATGGACCTAAAAAAAAACAAACTCACTGCCATCGAGTGGATTCCCGCTCATAGCGACCCTATAGGACAGAGTAGAACTGTCCCACAGGGTTTCTAAAGAGCGGCTGGTGGATTTAAACTGCTGACCTTTTGGTTAGCAGCCAAGTGCCTGGCAAATAACAGTTAGTCACAAATTTGAATCTAAATCAGCATTCATAAAACAAGAGCAATAAAAATATTCTGAACAATTAAAAGTATAATCAGATGTAACGTAGTAACTGGCATGAAAACATGTTAAATGATCTCTAAATCAAATAAATGCAAATTAAACACTGTTTTTTTTTTTTTTTTTGGTGGGGTGAGAGTCATGTACTAAGTTAGCCAAAACTGAAAACTAATCCTAACATCTGCAGCTGACAAGAGAATAGTTATAAACATGTGCAAGTCAAAAACCTGGGTGTCATGCTTGATTCCTAACTCAACAAAACTCCAGTCTATCAGCAAACCTTAGTGATTGCACTACTATATATATATATATATAGATAGACGTAGATGTATAATTTATTGTGCTCTAAGTGAAAGTTTACAATTCAAGTTAGTCTCTCATGCAAAAATTTATACATACATTGTTATGTGACCCTAGTTGCTCTCCCCATACTGTGACAGCA